TTCTACCTCTGTTTGTGTTAGTTTAGGTAGGTAGGGAGTTTCTAGAAATTTGTCCATTTCCTCTAGGTTTTCAAATTTGTTAGAGTACAGTTTTTCATAGTATTCTGTTATGGTTCTTTTAATTTCTGTTGGGTCTGTTGTGATATCACCTATCTCATTTCTTATACAGATTATCTGCTTCCTCTCCTGTTTTTCTTTTGTCAGTTCGGCCAGTGGTTTATCAGTTTTGTTGATCTTTTCAAAGCACCAGCTTTTTGGTCTTAACTTTTTCAGTTGTTTTTCTGTTCTCTCTTTCATTTAATTCTGCTCTAATTCTTAATATTTCCTTTCTTCTGGCGCCTGAGGGCTTCTTTTGCTGCTTTCTTTCTACTTGTTCCAGTTGTAGGGTTAATGTTTTGATTACGGCCCTTTCTTTGTGGATATGTGCATTTATTGCTATAAACTGACCTCTGAGCACTGCTTTTGCTGTGTCCCAGATGTTCTGGTAGGATGTGTTTTTGTTCCCGTTTTATTCTGTGAATTTCTTTATTCCATCCTTAATTTCTTCTATAACCCAGTAGTTTTTGAGCAAGGTGTTGTTCAGTTTCCATATGTTTTTTTTTTCCTCGCCTTTTGTGTTGTTGATTTCTACTTTTATGGCTTTATGGTCAGAAAAGATGCTTTGTAATATTTCAGTGCTTTGGATTTTGTTAAGGCTTGCTTTATGGCCTAATATCTGGTCTGTTCTGGAGAATGTTCCATGTGCATTGGAAAAGAAAGTATATTTGGCTGCTGTTGGGTGCAGTGTTCTGTATACGTCTATGAGATCAAGTTGGTTGATTGTAGCATTTAGCTCTTCTGTGTCTTTGTTGAGCTTCTTTCTGGATGTTCTGCCCTTCACCGAAAGTAGTGTGTTGAAGTCTTCTACTACTATTGTGGTGCTGTCTGTCTCTCTTTTTGGTGCTGTTAGAGTTTGTTTTATGTATTTTGGAGCCCTGTTGTTGGGTGCGTAAATATTTGTTATAGTTATGTCCTCCTGGTGTATTGACGCTTTCATCATTATATAGTGTCCTTATCCTTTGTGGTGGATTTTACTTTAAAGTCTGTTTTGTCAGAGATTAATTGCCACTCCTGCTCTTTTTTGAGTGTTGTTTGCTTGATATATTTTTTTCCATTCTTTGAGTTTTAGTTTTAGTTTGTTTGTGTCTCTTGTAGGCAGCATATAGATGGATTGTGTTTTATTATCCAGTCTGTTACTGTCTCTTTATTGGTGCACTTAGTCCATTTACATTCAGCATAATTATTGATAGGTATGAGTTTAGTGCTGTCATTTTGATGTCTTTTTTTGTGTGTTGTTCACAGTTTCTTTGTTCCACATAATTTTCTGTGCTGAGTCATTTTTCTTCATGTATTTTCTTTTCGTCTTTTTTATTGTTGTTGATTTTGTGTTTGCTGAATCTTTATATTTTTCTAGTTTTTTATTTTCACTTGTAGAATTGTTAGTTTCCTTTATGGTTACCTTAATATTTACCCCTATTTTTCTAACTTTATACCAGTCTTTTCTTTCTTTATATTGCCTTGACTTCCTCTCCATATGAAAAATCTATGTCTACATTTTTTAAGTCCCTGTTTTTTGTTTTACTGTTGTCATCTTTTCCATACTGACATCTGTTTCCCTATTTTCAGTGTTTTAGCTCTGATTTATTTTTGTGACTTCCCTATCTGGGTTTATATCTGGTTGCTCTGCCCTGTGTTCTAGTCTTGGGTTGTTATCTTATGCTACCGATTTTCTAACCGGAGGACTCCCTTTAGTATTTCTTGTAATTTCGACTTGGTTTTTGCAAATTCCCTAAACTTCCGTTTATCTGGAAATGCCCTAATTTCGCCATCATATTTGAGAGACAGTTTAGCTGGTTATAATTCTTGACTGGCAGTTTTTCTCCTTTAAGGCTTTATGTATGTCATCCCATTGCCTTGTTGCCTGCATGGTTTCTGCTGAGTAGTCCAAGCTTATTCTTATTGACTCTCCTTTGTAGATGACTTTTTGTTTCTACCTAGCTACTCTTAAAATTTTCTCTTTATCTTTGGTTTTGGCAAGTTTGAGTATAATATTTCTTGGTGACTTTCTTTTGGGATCTACCTTATGTGTGTTTCAATGAGCATCTTGGATAGATATCTTGTTATCTTTCATGATATCAGGGAAGTTTTCTGCCAACAAATGTTCAACAATTCTCTCTATTTTCTGTTATCCCCCCGGTCTGGTACTCCAGTCACTCGTAGGTTATTTCTCTTGATAGAGTCCCACATAATGCTTAGAGTTTCTGCATTTTTTTTAATCCTTTTATCTGATTTTTCCTCAAATAAGTTGGTGTCAAGTGCTTTATATTCAGTCTCACTAATTCCGAGTTCCATTGCCTCAGTTCTGCTCCTATGACTTTCTATTGAGTTGTCTAATTCTGACATTTTATTGTTAATCTTCTGGATTTCTGATTGCTGTCTCTCTGTGGATTCTTGCCGCCTGTTAAATTTGTCATTATACTCTTCTCTAATCTTTTTCATTTCCTGTATTGGATGTTCTGCATTTTGATTAATTTCCTTCCTAATTTCTTGAAGAGTTCTGTATATTAATCTTTTGTATTCTGCCTCTGGTAATTCCAAGAAATTTTCCTCCTCTGTAAAATTTCTAGATTTTTTACTTTGGGAGCTTGCTGAAGCTGTCATGGATTGCCTCTTTATGTGATTTGATATTGACTTATCTCTGAGCCATCAATAATTTATTATATTTATTTTGTTTGCTTACTGTGTCCTAGCTTCTTGTTTTGTTTCGATATGCCCAAGTAGCCTGCTCTTACGAGCTAGTTTGATTATTGACACCTTTGAAGCTCTAATGTTCTGTCACCAGGTTGTTAGATCCGTTACCAGGTATATGAGCTCAGGAGTCCACCTACTCTTCCTGTATGGATTCAGCTCAGGTGCCCAGTTAGATAGCCTCCAAGTCTGTGGTGGAGGCTCTCACTTACAGTCTTAGACATGGGTGATTGGTGTAGGCCGAGGCATCTGGCTACAGCAGGGGGACACACTCTGAGCATGGCAGGGGGCAGACGGCCGACCCTGAGTGTCCAGGAGGAAAGCATGTACCTGTTCCCTAGAGCGCGTAGGTGGATGGGTTTTGCAGCCGGAGTATGAGCACCTAATGCTGTTGGCTGTAAGAACTAACTGGGGGGGGCACCTCTTATTCATGGGCACCTATCGCAGGTGGCTAGGTGGCATGGGTGGAGCCACCAGTCCTCAGGCCCCTGATTTGGGTAGGTGAAGACCCTGCTTAATTGGCGTAGCAGTGTCAACTGTCAAGAACCTGCCACTTCACAGCTGAAACAGTTGAAGTTAGACTTTTGGTATATACCCTGTTGTACTATGGTAGTGAGGGCCTGCGCTCTTGAAGTCGGCCCACACAAGTCAATGCTGGGGGAAAGGCACTCAAAGTCCATGTATCCCTTATGCCTATGCCTTGGCAAAGGAACTGTACCTACCTTGGGTACCTGGCTTAGGGGAGCCGGCAGTGTATTTTTTCCCGTTTGTTAATTTGTTCACTCTTCAAGGCTGGGAGAATGGCTCCGGGTATGTGACGGATCCTACTTGCAGCCCAATGGACTCGGCAGTTGCTGTAGCCAGTCCAGGACCCGGTGCAGAGCAGGAAGCGGGGAGGTAAATGGGAGATAGGTTTTTCTCTAACGGGGGGTGTTTCTGATCTGCGCAGTAGCCGTATGTGTGTACTTGTCTTTCGCCGATCCAGGGCTAATTCTCACTGGTTCTGGGTGGCCATGTAGATTTTCTGGCACTGGGTCTCTCCCAGTGTGGAAAACGTACCTTCTGAGGATTGCTGCTTGCCTGCCTCACCACTCATCCCCGAGCTGATCAGGCCTGAAGGGTTCAGACTCTCACCGGGTCAGGATTGGCAGCTCCTTGCTGCTTCCGAACCGTCTCTCCCTCCCCCTGCCACTCAGTCCAGTTCCTCAACTCGGCCTTTGATGTTCAGGGCCCCCAGATTGCCATATATAATCAATTCAGTTGTTTTTTCAGTTCTTTGCTGTAAGAAGGTCCACCAGAAGCGTCTGACTACTCCACCATTTTGGCCCCGCCTCTCTACATATACCATTTAGTAACATTGATTCCATTCTTAGAGTTGTGCAACCATTCTCACTCTCCTTTTCTGAGTTGTTCTTCCCCCATTAACATAAACTCATTGCTGCCTAAGGTTTCTGTCTAATCTTCTGAGTTGGTGTTGTCAATTTAATCCCACATAGATAAGATAGTTCCTAAAAGAGCATAATGCTCAAGGCAGACATTCTTTACTAGTTAAAGTAATCTCATCTTTTTCATTGTGATTATACTGTATTATGTGCCAGTCACGGTCCAGTCAGGAGACAGAACCCACTCCAGTAATCTGAGCATGGGACATTTAAAGAATTCTTAACTGGTAACAAGGTATTAACTGTTAAGGGGTAAAGATAGGTATTTTTTAAAAACTACAAGAACAGCCGATTAAGGAGTAGCCACTACTACAGTGCAGAGTTCCCAAGGAAGGGACAAACTTGGAAGAGGCTTCTCCCCACCTTGTCCCAAAGGTGATACTCAGACTTCATGAGAGAGTGTGGTTGTGACCCACTGGATAGTAGAGAAGTTAGATAAGCTGCCACAGGCCAGAGCTGACAAGCAGGAAATTACCTACCTGGGTGCTGGGGAGACTTGCTGGGAAGCCACTCTCTGGGGCGCTCCTGGAAGTTATAGGAAATCACCCTCTGGGATACCACTGAAACTTTCTGGGGGGTGAGCACCATTTGATGTCCTGCACACCAAACAGGCACCACAGGAGCAAGAAGGAAAAAACACACTGGAACCGTAAGAAAAGCCCATTCCCCCTGCAGGGTCCCTCCTTGACTGACAAAGCTTAACACTGCCAGCTGACAAAGGAGAAATGCTCTTGTGGTCCAGCTCTACTACCACAAAGCAGGGAAAGGGTGGATTTGAAGCTAAGAGGCAATAAACTGGTAACTGGCACACCTGTCTAGTGAGTGCCGTACCTCTTGACCTTTTTGAGATTTACCTTCTTTCAGTCTTGAACTATACTTGTTTATGTGTCATCTTGCCTCTCTTCCAAAATGTAGATTCTTAATGTGTCTTGGGCACTTCTTTAAGGATATCTTTCACAGATGCATTGCCAGTCAACTTCTTTTTTATTAAAATCATCTACAATAGCAGTTCCTTTGTCTTCTAAGAAATTGTTCAAACCTATGATAATAACCTGTTGCCGTTGAGTTGATTCCGACTCGTAGCAACCCGATGGATATGAGTCAGGTGATGATGATAATACCTAATATTGTATTATTATCTATTTATAATACAACAGAGTAATATATATGACCTAATATATATTGTCATATATGTGCAGATAATATATACATAAATACATGACACATTTGATTTTTAATTGTGAACATCTTGCAAGGAAAAAAGTCAACTGATTGAATAGTTACTAATAGAGGAGTATGATTTTAAAAAAAAAAACAGGTTCACAGTTGCTAAAGCACCACACTTATACCTGATAAATTTGATCTTTATTAATTTGGCCAAATGTGTATTTTGATTTCAAGCCTTAAAAAAGAATTAACTTCATATTATTTGCATAAAGGGAAGAGTAATTAAGAAGTAAATTAATTACAAGTAGAAATATTCTCACATGTGCATCTTTCTTCCTCCAGATGTCCTTGCTCCACAGTACCCGTGGCAGTCCAGTGACATGTCAATGAACATGTTACCACCAACTCACAGTAACGACTTTCTGTTGGAACCTCCTGGCCATAATAAAGAAAACGAAGATGATGTAGAGGTTATGTCAACAGACTCCTCAAGCAGTAGTAGTGACTCTGATTAAAAAAAACATACAAGACAAAAGGCATACAGAATTGAATACTGTAGAACTCTGTTCCTTAAACAATAGCAGGGAAATGTAACCTGCAAACCGGTAAGAAAAGCCAGATAAATACTGGCTATTGTTGATTTGTGCAGTCTGTTAAAAACTTTGAGGACTTTGTTTTTTTAAGCCAAACATCATGGTATTAGTTCTAATCCACTAGGCAAGTATTTAGGGAATAATTAACATTTACTTTTGGGAAAAACGTTTATTCAGTTGTTCGGTGCTTTCTTACCCTGTTCTATTGCAGTTGGGTTGGCCTTGAGCATAGTAGCATATGTCAATAATAGAACTCCTATAATTACTTAGAAAGGATAAAAAAAGTAGTGGATCACTGAATAAGTGTCATATTTAAAAATAACAAAAATTCTCACTTGAAAGTGAAGGCTATTGGCCTTTGTTTCAGGAACTGGAGAAATTGTCTGTTATACTGTTTGTAATTATTGTAATTTTGTAAATAAACTCATTTTGTTGTACTGTGTGCCTTTATTTTGTTTAAATATACTTTCAGTATAAGTTGGGAATTGTTTCTGTAAATCCAGTTACACTTTATACATTTGTTGTTAGGTGATGTCCAGTTGGTTCCGACTCATAGTGACCCTGTATACAACACAACAAAACACTGCCCGGTCCCGCACCATCCTCACGATCGTTATTATACTTGAGCCCATTGTTGCAGCCACTGTATCAATCCATCTTGTTGAGGGTCTTCCTCATTTTTGCTGACCCTCTATTTTACCAAGCATGATGTCCTTCTCCAGAGACTGATCCCACCTGATAACATGTCCAAAGTGTGTGAGACAAGTCTTGCCATCCTCACTTCCAAGGAGCACTTTTGCTGTACTCCAAGAGAGTCTTGTTCGTTTTTCTGGCAGTCCATGTTGGTTCACTATTCTTCACCAACACCATAATTCAAAGGCATCAATTCTTCAGTCTTCCTTATTCATTGTCCAGCTTTAGCATGCATACGAGGCGATTGGAAAGACCATGGCTTGGGTCAGGCGCACCTTAGTCCTCAAAGTGACGTCTTTGCTTTTTAACACTTGAAAGTCTTTTGCAGCAGATTTGCCCAGTGCAATATTTCATTTGATTTCTTGACTGCTGCTTCTGTGGGCATTGATTGTGGATCCAAATAAAATGAAATCCTTGACAACTTCAGTACTTTCTCTCCATTTATCTCAATGTTGCTTGTTGGTCCACTTGTGAAAATTTTTGTCTTTATATTGAGGTGTAATCCATACTGAAGGCTGTGGTCTTTGAACTTCATCAGTAAGTGCTTCAAGTTCCCTTCACTTTCAGTAAGCAATGTTGTGTCATCTGCATATCCCAGGTTGCTAGTGAATCTTCCTCCAATTCTGATGCCACGTTCTTCATATAGTACAGCTTCTAGGTTATTTGCTCACCATACAGATTGAACAAGTATGGTGAAAGGATACAACCATGACACACACTTTTCCTGATTGTAAACCACGCAGTATCCCCTTGTTCTGCTTGAACAACTGCCTCTTGGTCTATGTACAGGTTCCACATGAGCACAATTAAGTGCCCTGGAATTCACATTCTTCACAATGTTATCCATAATTTGTTATGATCCACACAGTCAAATGCCCTTGCATAGTAAATCACTGGTAAACATCTTTCTCGTGTTCTCTGCTTTTCGTCAAGATCCATCTGACATCAGCCATGATATCCCTCATTCCATGTACTCTTCTGAATCCGGCTTGAATTTCTGGCAATTTCTTACCAATGTACTATCCTGTAGCTGTTTTTGAATTATCTTCAGCTAAATTTTACATGTGTGATATGATATTCAATAATTTCCACATTCTGTTGGATCACCTTTTTTTGGAGTGGGCATGTAAATGGATCTCTTCCAGTTGGTTAGCCAGGTAGCTGTCTTCCAGATTTCTTCACACAGATGAGTGAGCACTTCTAGCATTCCATCTGTTTGTTGAAACATGTCAGTTGGTATTCCATAAATTCCTGGAGCCCTGTTTTTCACCAGTGCCTTCAGTGCAGCTTGGACTTTTTCTTTCAGTAGGATCAGTTCTTGATCATATACTACCCCTGAAATGATTGAACATGGACCAGTTCTGTTTGGTACAGTGACTCTTGTGTATTCTTTCCATCTTTTGATGCTTCCTGCGTCCTTCAATATTTTGTCCATAAAATCCTTCAGTATTGCAACTCGAGGCTTGAATTTTTCCTTCAGTTCTTGGAGCTTTAGAAATGCCGAGCATGTTCTTCCCTTTTGATTTTCTAACTCCAAGTCTTTGCACATTTCATAATAATAACTTTCCTTTGTCTTCTCAAGCTGCCCTTTGAAATCTCCTGTTCAGCTTCATTATTTCTTCCATTCACTTTAGCTACTCTGTGTTCATGAGCAAGTTTCCGAGTCTCTTCTGTCATCCATTTTTGTGTTTTCTTTCTTGACTTTTTAATGACCTTTTGCTTTCTTCATGTATGATGTTCTTGATGTCATCCCACAAGTCATCTGGTCTTCGGTCATTAGTGTTCAGTGTGTCAAATCTCTTCTCAGTATGGCCTCCACATTCAGGTGGGATATACTCAAGGTTGTATTTTGGCTCTTGTGGACTTGTTTTAATTTTTTTCAGCTTCAACTTGAACTTGTATATGAGCAATTGATGGTGTGTTCCACACTCAGCCCTTGGCCTTGTTCTGACTGATGATATTGAGCTTTTCCATCGTTTCGTTCCACAGATGTAGTCAGTTTGAATCCTGTGTTTTCCATCTGGTGAGTTCCATGTATATAGTTGCCGTTTATGTTGTTGAAAAAATATATTGCAATGAAGAAGTTGTTTTACAAAATTCTATCTTGCGATCTCTTGCGTCATTTCTATCACCAAGGCCATATTTTCCAACTGCAGATCCTTTTTTGTTTCCAACTTTCGCATTCCAATCTCCAGTAATTATCAATGCATATTTGATCAATTTCAGACTGCAGAAGTTGGTAAAAATCTTCAAATTCTTCAGCTTTGGCATTAGTGGTTGGTGCATAAATTTGAATAATACTCATATTAAGTAGTCTTCCTTGTTGGCATATAGATATTATCCTATTGATGACATTGTTGTACTTCTGGATAGATCTTGAAATGCTCTTTTGACAATGAACGTGATGCCATTCCTCTTCAGTTTGTCATTCCTGACATAGTAGACTGTGTGATTATCTGATTCAGAATGGCCAATACCAGTCCATTTCAGCTCACTAATGCCTAAGATATCAATTTTTACACATTCCATTTCATTTTTGATGACTTCCAATTTTCCTAGATTCATACTTCATACCTTCCACATTCTGATTATTAATGGATGTTTGCAGCTGTTTTTTCATTTTGAGTCATGCCACATCAGCAAATGAAGGTCCCGAAAGCCTTATTCCATCCACATCATCAAGGCTGACTCTATTTTGAGGAGGCAGCTCTTCCCCAGTCATCTTTTGAGTGCCTTTCAACCTGAGGGGCTCATTTTCTGCACTGTATCAGACAATGTTCCTTCCACTACTGTTCATAAGGTTTTCACTGGCAAAAAAAAAAGAGCAAACATCCTAAATGTCCAATAAAAAAGCAAATTATGGCACATCCACATCGTGGAATATTAGCCATTAAATCTATCAAAGAATGTATTCACATGAAAAAAATATTCATAGTATAATGAACAAAGCAAGGTTTAAGATTAGATGCTGTATCATTCATTCATAAAAACAGACTGGAGGGAATTACACCCAGTCTCCTGGTTCTGCTGCTGCCGTTTCTCTGCTGCTTCTTGCTGTCTGCGCCATCTCTGGGGTTACAGCTCTCCTGCTTCCTTCTGAGCCATCAAGAGAATTGTCTTTGATGTCCATAATTTCACCAACAGTGTCTTCAAGGGAATCTAGGCTTTTACCATTAGACACTTTAAAACTTTTCTAGCCTCCACCCATTAATTCCAAAACCACTTCCACGTTGTAGGTATCTGTTAAAGCAGCACACCACTCCCCGTACTAAATTCTGCCTTAGTTACCCAGTGCTGCTATAATAGAAATACCACAAGTGGATGGATTTAGCAAACAAATTTATTTTCTCACAGTCCAGGAGGCTAGAAGTCTGAATCCAGGGCACCAGCTCCAAGGGAAGGCTTTCCCTCTCTTATCTCTGGGGGGAGGTCCTTGTCATCAATCTTCCCTTGGGTCTAGGAGTTTGTTAGTGCAGGGACTCCATGTCCAAAGGACGTGGTCCCCTCCTGGCTCTTCTTTCTTGGTGGTATGCAGTCCCTCTCCTCTCTGCTCACTTCTCTCTTTTATATCTCAAAAGAAATTGACTCAAGATACAACCTAATCCTGTAGATTGAGTCCTGTTTCATTAATATAACTGCCTCTAATCCTGCCTCATTAACATCATAGAGGTTAGGATTTACAACACAGAATAATCACATCACAAAATGGTGGTCAACCACACAGTACTGGGAATCATGGCCTAGCCAAGGTGACACACATTTTGAGGGGACACAATTCAGTCTATAACATTTACTTCTGGTGTTTGTGCATTGTTAGTTGTGGTTTGTATTAAATTTATGCCATATATTAGGGCCCCTAGAGTTGTCCCTATTTTTTCTTCCATGATCTTTATTGTTTTAGGTTTTTGATCCATTTTGAGTTAGTTTTTGTGTATGGTAGCTGGTATGGGTCCTGTTTCATGTTTTTAGAGATGAACATCCAGTTTTGCCAGCACCATTTGTTAAAAAGACTGTCTTTTCCCCATTTCATAGACTTTGGTCCTTTGCCAATGATTAGTTGACCTTAGTACATGGATTTACCTGTGGGCTCTCGATTCTGTTCCATTGCTCTTTGTGTCTGTCATTGTACCAGTATCAGGCTTTTTTAACTACCATGGCTGTATAGTAGGTTCTGAGATTGGGAAGTGTGAGGCCTCATGCTTTGTTCTTTTTCTTCAGTAATGCTTTGCTTATCTAAGCCCTCTTTGCTTTCCGTATACAGTTGATTAGTTTTTCCATCTCATTAAAGAATGGAAAATTGGATCAGGACTGCATTATATCTGCAGATCGCTTTGGGTAGAATTGACATTTTCACGATGTTCAGTCTTCCTATCCATGAGCATGGTGTGTTTTTCCATTTATGTAGGTCTCTTTTCATTTCTTATAATACTGTTTTGTAGTTTTCTTTTTATGGGTCTTTTATATCCCTGGTTAGATCTATTCCTAAGTATTTTATATTTTTAGGGGCTATTATAAATGTTATTTTTTTCCTGATTTCCTTTAGGAAGTTCTCTTCCTTGGTGTTTAGGAATCCAACTGATTTTTGTATGTTGATCTTGTACCCTGATACTCTGTTGAATCTATTAGTTCCAGTAGTTTTCTCGTGGAATCGTTGGGGTTCTCTGTGTATAGGATCATATCATCTGTGAATAAGGATAGTTTTACTTCTTCCTTTCTAATTTGGATGCTCTTTCTTTTTCTTGCC